GTGCATTTTTCTGTCTTAATGATTATCATCTCTTGCTGATTTTAACCCTGAAAATTTCATGTTTTTCCTGTTTTAGTATTCTAGTAAATCTTAATTCTTAAGTTAGCTAATGGCGAGATTTATGACAATAAAATATCTGTAGCAATTCTCCTATTGCATTGTTAAATATTTGAGCTTAACAGCTTTAATAAAATATTGCAATAACAATCATAAATATGAATTCTGGTCGTTATTTTAAGAAGTGGGTATAAATGAAAAGATTTGAAATCGGCAACTTCTTCTATTTCACTGAAACAGCCATTAAACACTTCTATCTTTACTTCTTTTCTCTTTCTTCTTTTCATCCATTTTCTCACTGAAACCAAGTAGTGTCTTTTCCTCTTTTTCCATGTGATCAAAATGAAATACATCATTATTTATGAGTTATTGGCAGAAGATGTTAAACATTTCTTCCTTTCTTTGTTTCACTGAAACCGAGTAGTGTTTTCCCCCTATTTCTACATGATCAAAATAGAATAGTCTATTATTTACGAGATATTGGCAAGAGGTGTTAAACACCTCTTTCTTTCTTTCACTGAAACATTATTTATGTGGTATTGGCAGGACATAATGGTCGTGCAAACTAAGGGAGGGACAAGCACAATTATAATAGGATATGAGAGAAAATAATCATAGATAAACCATTGACTCAGGACTTAATTCTGCATCCATTTCATTGCCTCTTTCAGCATATGTTGGCAAATATTTATAGAAACAACATCAATGTTCTGAATGTTAAACTCCGAAAATAAAGCGTTCTTTTGTAGACAAAAAAAAAAAACTGTAAAAATGCACAAACTTAATACTTTCAAAATTTTGGATGTCCTAATCTTTGTTTTTCAGTCTATGGGCAAAAGGATATATAATTTTTTATAGATGAGAACAGTTTTAAAAAAATCTGACAAAGCAAAAAAAGAATTTTCCTGTGTCATGTTACGTCCTTTAGGATTTCCTTGAACTAAAGTGATGTTTACATTGATCTGATTACATATGTGCGTGAAGGAGAGGGGATGTTGAAAGTTTCAATTTAATTTATTTTTTTTTTTAAATATGTGTTCGAGTTTATAGTTTACCCAATTTCATTAACTTTCTTTTATTTTTTCATATGTTTAATGTGCTTGTTATTAAATTATGATAGAAAATGTAACGAAAAAGAAACTAAATAAAATAATCTAGACTATATACACAACACATATTTGAAAGAAAATAAAAAAAAATTAAAATTTCAATGTCCACTCTCCCGTTCATGTTTAATGAAGTCCTAAATGATGAAAAAGCAAATATTTTTTCCACTTTGTCATAGATTTTCCTAAAATCTGTTTATAAAATTATTTTTTACAAAAATATTTCTTGCATAATACTTGCCTACCTCATTAATAATAATAATAAGTAATTCATTCCTACAAATAAGATAAATTATAGATTTATGGATATTTATCAGTTTTTGTTGATGGAGGTATTAAAGCATTGGCTTAACTGGTGCACAAACTATGGAAAAGACATTGATCTATTGCAATTTGCTCAGGACAGGTGGCTCATCCTAGTCACAGGTGAAATCAAGGTATCATCGCATTAGGTAAGATGCCAGTTGATCAATCTGCGTGATGTATGCAAAATACTGAATGGCTATTATAAATTAGAAGTGAACAATTCCTTCACATTCTCAAGCAGGAGGATGTGGGGTCACTGACACAAATTGATGATAGACAGATGGAACTGTTTATCTAGTGATGTTATGAATGTGTTGTGGGTATAGGAAATAAATCCTATATATATATTTCAACCAATAAAATTCCATCAGAAGGTTCGTTGGATAAACAATCTTAACAAAGGGAAAATACTGCCAAAATACTTGCAGACATAGTCAAAGACCTACCACGTGTTATTTTGGCACTATTTAAAAAATAATAATAATAATTTCCTTCACCAGTCCTGCAAATTCAAGAAAAAGATTTTCATGAGTCAGTGTGAAATTATTTTTTAGCCAATGAAAACCTTGTATTCAAAATGTTCACACCTCTATGTGAAATTAGATTTTGAATTCTCTTACAGATGTAAGAATAGAAGCATACTGCTTCTTAGGATTCAAACCAATCTGGTGGGGGGCTGTTTGATCTACATGTCCACACACACACACATGCATACAATGAAAGAGAACCAGCAACCACTAAATAAGGACTTGTCTATGCAAACAATAGAAGGGATTAACCAGCAACTGCCTACTAAGCTTTTGTTTATGGATTCACAAACACATTAGGCTGAACATCATAAAGTAAGTCTCTTCACACATCTCACACTGTACTAAGAACACTTAATTACTTTTTAAAACAAACTTCACTGCAAAGAAAATTGAACATTTTATTGGTATTGTATATTTGTAAAAGGAATATATAAATGTTATTTCAAGTGATGTTCTGCTATAATTTCTCCTTCAAAAAATAACCTTTTATATGTTTCATTTAAAAGTTGTGTTGTTAAATGTTTGGAATCCCGACATTCAGATAGCAATGAAAACCTGGGTAGACAGACTCCAACACGAGATAATAATATGTTTGGGTATAAATATTCACCATTATGTTGTGGGAATCAACATTTTGGATATTAAATATTTATGGGCTTCTGGAACATTTATCCTGCAAACAATATTAGCAGACTCAATATGAGTCCAGGTAAAAATGAGAAAAAACACAAAACAATGAATATGAAAAAAACAACAATGTATGTTATTAACAAAAGAAATTACATGTGTACACAATTGCAATGAAAGGAAAGAACATTAAAACTAGTTGTAGAAAGAATGTGCTTGCTTACATATCTGTAAAACAAGGTAGATATGTGTGTGTATGAGAGAAAGCTGAAAAGTCAACTGATGACCAAGGAAATGAACACGCCTTGTTGGCAGCATTTTTTATCGACATCAACTACATCTGGAAGCAAGAGTCAAAAAGGGCTAACAAGAAAAAGAGAGAGATACTAACAATTGCCTATTTATATGCTTAAAGAGTGCCCCCTAATGAGTGCTGTTGGCATAGCCAAGTGTGATAACCCACAAATGTACCAACACTGGTTATTTTCAAGAAGAAACTTAGGAGCCCACTCAAACGAGTTGAAGGATAATTGACTAATTCTAATTACAGTTGTAATGATTTATGTTTGAGATTCTGAGGTTAATTTTTGCAAATATTCAATAGATGTAATCATGGAGTTATGTTTTTTTGCAGACTTACTACTGGAGTGCATTTAACTCTCATAAAATCATCATTTACAGTGTTGCTTTTACTTTCATGGTATTTTGCATGTTTTATTTGCTGGCATTTTTGGCAGTGGGCAGGGTAAATATTGTTCTCTGAGTAGTTGTATTATGGAATGCCAGTAACTGGTTATGCAGATTTTCTTGATTATGTCCCTTGCCTTTTTTTTTTTTTTTTTTAACTTTTAAAAATATTGGACAATTGAATGAATCCTACTTTCACTGCTACTGTGAATCAGCTCCTGCTTTTTTTCTGATTGGTTGAAGCTGGGATGAGAACAAGATTGATTCATCCTATTTTCCCCAAGAGCTTTAGTGAAAAAAAAACTGAATGCAACCAATTCAGTCAGAATGTGAATCTGGCTCACTGGTTCAGTTTTCCGTGTTGATAACTGTTCCACTATTTGCACACCGACCATATATTATATGCAGAAATAAATATTAAAAGGTTGGATATATAACAAAGATTTTCAGTAGAATGTAAGAGACATCAGAAAAAGATTAAACGTTGAAGAAGGTTAAAAGTATGAAGATCATTTTCATTAACAAGTCAATTAATTTTGGTGCCCAACTGTGGAGAAGCAATTAACAACTCCATCTTGCAGATCGTTATTATAAATTTTGCTTAATGAATGACAGCAACTTATAATTAGTGAATTAAAATTTATATTATATAGAATTATATTGTAAAGATCAAGTTACCATCTGCCAATAATTTGATCAAAGCAATGAATTTGATTTCAAAATTGAATTGTCTGTAGATTGTCAAGCAACCAAAAATAAATAAATACAAACCTAAAATTCTGAGCATAATCATTGATTGATGATCAAATATCCGAGGTTATGATAAGAGTTAATTGTAGGATTACAGATAATTACAAGATGGCCTTCCAGGAGGAAGAGTGAATTTAAAGATGGCCTTTCTGGATGAGGATGATTTTAAAAATGGCCTTTCTTTGTGAATGTAAATTTAAAGCTTGCCTTTTAGGATGAGAATGAAATTAAAGATGATCTTTCTGGATGAAAGTGAATTTAAAGATGGTCTTTCAATAAGTGTGAATTTAAAGATGGTCTTTCGAATAAGTGAGTGAATTTAAAGATGGTCTTTCGAATAAGCGAGTGAATTTAAAGATGGTCTTTTGGGGATAGGTTGAATTTAAAGACTGGATTTCAATGTAATGGTGAACTTAAAGTTGACCTTTCTGAATAAGGGTGAATTTAAAGATGGCCTTTCCAGATGAGAGTGAATTTAAAGATGTCCTTTCAGTAAGAGAGTGAATTTAAAGATGACCTTTCAGTAAGAGAGTGAATTTAAAGATGACCTTTCAGTAAGAGAGTGAATTTAAAGATGACCTTTCAGTAAGAGAGTGAATTTAAAGACTGAATTTCAGTGTTAGGGTGAACTTAAAGATGACCTTTCTGAATGAGGGTGAATTTAAACATGATCTTTCTAGATGAAAGTGAATTTAAAAAAGGCCTTTCAATGTGACTAAGAGTTTAAAGATGGCCTTTTAGTCAGAGAGTGAATTTAAAGATGGCCTTTCAATTGGAGAGTTAATTTAAAGATTGCCTTTCAGTAGTAGATGGCTTTTGGGAATAGTGAATTTTATGATTGTCTTTTTACATTACCTTTTAATATTTTTTACTATTTGATACTTGCTGTTGATATTGTAATTATTGTTTTTTTTTTTTTTTCTTTCTGTCTTTGTAGGGCATCCTGTCAAAATGCAAATATTCAGTACGGGGCATGCTGGTTACTCAAACACGGAAAGGCTATCATGAAGTCCACTCTGACACCATTATACGGACCACCCTAATGTTGGATTCCAGTAGCAAAGTACAATATTATAAGTACGGATCTCCTTTGACTTTTATCATTTCTGTCCTACTCTGGTTTTTTGATATCTGTTTGTCTAATTTATTTTAAATATACCTTGTTTTTTAATCTGTTTTTGTTTTATGCTTTCTGCATGTACCAGTAATATGCTATGTCATATCTTGTTGGCTAACACACGCTAAAAAAAAAATACAATTTTATTATGTTTTCTGAATTGTTTTTATTTATTGTTTTTGATGCTTGAAAATGCAAACGGGTATATTTCAGCAGGGCATATTGAAGAAAATCTTTTAGTGCATTTCAGCGTTTGGTGCTCATAGCAAGCTATCACTACATTATAAAGCATTACAAAGGCACTTTAGCTGTAACAGGAAAGCATCACTGTATATAAAAAGCAAGCTAGCATTAGATGTGAACATAAAGTGAGAAGTCACAATATTGAAAATATCTGACATGATCAACGCAATAAAAAATAAATGTCATCAGCACTTTTTTATGGTAATTTCTTTTGCAGTGCCAATAATAATAATAATGAAAACAAAACATTAAAAAAAAATCATTTAAATTGTTTGAATTATAATATGCTGGAAATAGAAATTGCAAGGCTGAGGCATTTAAAGACAATCATTAGTGTAATAATTATGAGAACTAGGAACAATTATAAAGTATATTAAAACGTACATTAAAAAAAATCCAGAAAATCCACCACTTTCTGAGATACAAAAGATCATGCTCATGAATATTACTTACATATGGATTTAGTTGGTTAATTTTATTTAATGGCATATCAATCTTTGTGTGTTATTTAATGCCAAAATCTAAATATTTTGAACACATTTTTATGGCTTTAACCTTCAATTAAGTATATTTTGAACACAATTGTATACCTTCAACTACAGATAAAAAGTATTGTTGGTAATTCTAGTATAAAATGTATTGCTGGTCTTTTTACTTTAAATATGTATTGTCGGTAATTTTACTATAAAATATATTGTTGGCTGTTTTGCTTTAAATATGCATTGTTGACAATTTTACTATAAATAGTCATTGTTGGTAATTTTACTATAAATATGTATTGTTGGTAATTTTACTATAAAAATTGTATTGTTGGTATTTTTACTATAAACTTGTACTTTTATACTTTCATAGAATTTACTATTTGCCGATAGCTTGTACACTAATGCGTGCTGCCACCTTGGGTCAGGGTAAGCCTAGGAAAAACAGCAGTTAAGTTTTTAGGACTTCAGATTCCAAACAATCCAGATTTATCTATGTCCCAGGCAAACAGGGAGTCTTGGGTTTTCTGAAGAGTGTGAGCTGGAGTTTCATTTTATATCTTGGATAGATATATTCCCAAACAGAAATGGCACTATGGATTTGTTAGCTGCTGGGGGAAGCAGATTTAGGCTCAGTCTGAACCCTTGCCCCAGGCTAAAAGAAAGCAACCTCACATGGTGGCAGCTGTAAACAAACTGAATTTGATTGCTGCTTCCGTCGCTGTATGGAGTAATGTCATCAAGTGGTAGTCGTATGAAACATGTGACTTATCTCCACCAAAGGGAGATAAGCACTTTCTGTATCCCTAAACCTTGAGCCATCTTGTGTGTGTGTTTTTTTTTTATCCAAGGATGAAGAAGAAGAGAAAGTAATCAACTATGACCCATTGAAGTTTGAACTCATGAGACTGGAATACCAGTTGTCATTGGAGCACTTTGTATAGTGATTGAGAGAAGGAAGACATGGATAAAGAAAATTATCATTGATTACCCAGTGGAAATTGATTACCCAAAGGAAAGCTCTTAGGAACAGCATGAATAATCCAAAAAATGATGAACAATTAGTCCTGACATCTCAGCTTCAGTCACTTTCCCACCACCTTAATGTTGCCTCCCGGTGCCTTTTCTATAAATACTTTCATGGTAATTGTTCAGATGAGCTCTTTGCTTTGTTTTCATATTGTAAATACTCATTGAGACTAGTTTTTTTTTTTTTAATTGTTGTTTTATTCCCCAGACAATGAATTGTACATAAGGGGAGTAGTTAGAACTTTCATAGAGACAATGTGGTATTATGGTGAATGTCGTAAGAAAGGTAAGCAAGAATGCGTTGTTTTGGTGTAAGGAATATTGTTGTATGTTTGGGTAAGTGTTTATGACTAGCTAAGTTTAATGTTAAGACAGAAGAAGATCATCCTTTTCCCCATTTTGGCCTTGTGCCACATTTCTGTACATAACAGAATAAATATAACTCTTCGCTATGTACCAAGACATTATGAATTTAAGTGCAGTACTAGATTGGCAGCAAGGTCTCTCATTAATTTAGAGTTGAGTTGGTTCAATGAAACCATAAGTTCTATCCCAACAGTTTCTATTCTTGCACTTCTCAAATTGTGAAACTCTCTTCTGGCTCCATGATTTCCATATTTAAATTTAAATAAATTGCCAATCACTATTTACAGTCTTCCTTGTTTATAAATGTTGATTATTCTAATTGTAAACACATCCGGTCTCACTAGAGAATGTTGGGGGCAAAATGGATTCACTGGACAGTCTCATATAACTTATCATCCCACTTCTGACACCATGTTCCACTGGGCTGAGGGTAGAATGATAAATTATATGAAACTGGCCACTGGATGTGTTTTATTCCCAGCATTGCATAAACAATACAAACTCCAAAATATCTGTTTGATTTCACAGAGTTATCGCCCTTGGACTGTAACCAAAACAAATCTTGATTTGTAATCATTTACTTTGTAATTTGGAAAAGTTAGAAATAAATTAATAAAGAAAAGGGAGATGTTTATATCAACATCAGTAATGTTGATTATTATGATGATTGTAAGCACTTCCAGTCCCGCTATGGAATGCTGAGAGCAAAATGGATCCAGCAGTCAGTCTCATGTAATTTATCTTTCCACCCTAAGCCCAGTGGAACATTCCTGATTACTCTTTTTGCTTGGAGTGAACTTGAAAAAAACTTAGAGGAAAATTGCCTGATATGTAAGGTTATCACCTTATCTTACTGAGAAAGTGCTGCTACTACTAATAATAATAATGTTGTTTGATTAAATTATCTTACAGAGTTGGATTAGGTAGATGTGATCATCTGAAGTAAAATTATATGAGTAATTTATAATAAAATTAAATGATAATGAATGTTTAGAATAACATTAGGAGGCTTCAGCTTAACATATACAGGGGGAATTTTTTTCAGCCATTTATTTTAAAGAAAGACAATATATATTTCATTGAATACAATAGACAAGGTGCTTTGATTTAGTTTTTGATACAATTTCTCATGCAATCTAATAAATTTTTTCTTTTCAGATGATAAATTATATAAAAACTGTCCGAATGTCCTTTTAATCCAAGTACTTTCAGCTGTACATTTAGCCATTTTCAAGGATGATATATTTTAACTGTTAAATAAGAAATAGTTTTTTGCATGTATGCATTTATATAATGTTTTCATTTTTCAAAACACAGTCAAGATATTGTGTCTATGTTCATAGTTGATATTATTAAGAGTTGATTTTTTTGCTTTTATTAATAAGGCTTCCATTATTTTTAGCCTTTTTTTTGCATGTAGATGATGCTATTATATTTGTGTTGACAACAAGTATGTTACGAATAGTGTTCAGTAGGTCTCCATGAATATTTAAATGAGATCTAATTGAGCTATAGTCAGAAAGGTGTAGAGTGAGTCTTCGTGTCAAACATGTTGTAGTGTGGCCTATATAATTATTTACGAATTTTGATTGATCAGGAATACAATTCCTTAATGGGCATTTAAAAAGGCTAAAAATAATGGAAGCCTTATTAATAAAAGCAAAAAAATCAACGCTTAATAATATCAACTATGAACATAGACACAATATCTTGACCGTGTTTTGAAAAATGAAAACATTATATAAATGCACACATGCAACAAACTATTTCTTATTTAACAGTTAAAATATATCATCCTTGAAAATGGCTAAATGTATAGTTGAAGGTGCTCGGATTAAAAGAATATTTGAATAGTTTTTATATAATTCGCATGAGAAATTGTGTAAAAAAAAAAAAAAAAACCCAAAACACCTTGTCTGTTGTATTCATTGAAATGTGCATGAAAGAAGGATTGCTGCCTAAATACACACACACACACACACACACACACACATATAATATATATATATTACTTAATTCAGATATTTTTGCTATCAATAGACACGTTATGTCCATTGAGCTAAATCACCTACATTTCCTCTCTATTCCATTTATAAGGAGGAAGTTCCACCCAGACTGCTTTTTTCCCAAGAACTGCTATTTTGTGGAAGAAACTCCCATGTGGATGCTTCCTTGAACACTAAAATCTTAACCTTTTCAAGTGAAAATATAATCACTATCCTCCTTATCCTAATAATCTTCACTTACCTCTACCTCCTCTTATGTTCATATCACACATCTCATTCAGTAACTCTCTACCACGAGTGGCTCTTGAGCTTTTTAGTGAGTCATTTTTAAGTAAATTTAGATGTCCTTTTCTGTGGGATCCATTAATATAGCCATGTGTCAGATATGTTCACCCCTATATGAAATATGTCTTCTGCTGCTGTTTTTGTTTATTTTGTAACACAGTTGACTGAGGTTAACTAGGATTTTACAAGTCAGTATTAGAAAAAAAAAATCCTTTAACTTCTATTCTGAAGAGATGCTGTACCCTGATAACAGTGGATACATAAAAGGACAGGAGATTAAAATTTATCCTCTGGCTATTTTAAAGTAAAAAGAACTGGGAAAAAAATTAAAAAGGAAAAAAAAAATGAAATGTATAATAAATAGATTTGGCCTTGATAAGAACCACATTCTGAACAAGCAGTAAAATTGGACAATCAAGATTTGGGTAAAAGAAACCAGGTGAAGCTGTCAGAGGAGGAAAAGAGTCATGCTCAAGTAAAGGAACAGAAAGAAATTTATACATTTAAGGATTAAAATAAACATCAAGCAATGACTTGGTTTAGAGCAACTGAATTTTTAATTAGTACGACATCCAAAATAATTTATGTTCTTTATTCATATAAAAACCAAATACAATGTCAAGGAAGCCTAGATAATAACCAACTGTGGGCATGTATAAAATTGTAGCTTCTTAATTCATGATGTTTATAAAAGAGTCATTTGAAGATGCACTACGTAACGGACAGCCAGTATATGTCCAAATGTGGAAATGTATTGAATCAAATCCTCTTCAAAAATGTCAGGCACTTGCATTGTCATGTCTACACAAAAAACAATACCCTGTCCAGTTGCAAAAGCTGCTGGTGGCACCAAGGGTGGCAGTACCGCCTTAGCCACTGAAACTGTGCTACCTCTCCTCATTGGTAGATGACGAGGACAGAGTATCTTACATGTTGTATATAGAAAAATAATATAGGTACCAGTGGCCATTCTGGAAGTCTGAAAGTGGTGGGGTCACTTGGAATCTGAGATTTTTCTGCAGAGGAAGAGGTGCAAATTCAAGCAGCATCTTTATTTTGATATTACACCACTATCATATACATAACTTAGGAATGAGTTTTAATATAAATATGTTACTTCACTAACGGAATAACTTTTCATTCATAGTAGTGGAGTTCTAATCTATTCTTGACTTATTTTCCACTCTCCAGCTGTTGGACTACAAGAGAGGTTAACTTCAAAACAAAATCAAAGGGTTAATACTAACGTCAATACTAGCAGAACAGTGTAATTTGTCTGCTCTGATTTTTTTTCCTCTACAAAACTGTTTCGATGCACAAAAAATAAATGTGAGAAAAAAAATAAATGCGAAAATAAAATAATACAATGTAATCAATCAAAATGCTGTGGTCACTAGAGGTGTACAAAAATCAGCTAAAAAATTAATCAATGTTTTTGGCAAACTCCGGCCATGCAATCCAGAAGCTAGTTTGAAAAAAGAAAATAATTTAAATAATATTAATTTCTCCATGACCCTAAAACAAAACATCAAATAGGGCAGCAGGATTGACACAAACCCAAGTTAACATAAATTATTTTACATCAAAATTTGAATAAATTTACTTCTTAAAGAGCAGAGTCAATTTACCCTATTAGTGGCACAAAAAATGTAATCTTGATTGAATGGGTGGACTTGGGGTTATACTCGGTAACTGGATACTTGTTAGTGGATGGGTTTGGTTATTGGAGTTTTATTTTGATATCTCTAAACTAGAAATACTTTTGTATTAAACCACGACAGAGTTATCATGGCTGCTAAACTGGTCTCTGTATGTGTCCTTATTTTGCCTGATCTTTGCAGATGTGAATGTAATAAAAAAAGCTAAATGAAAAAAACAAAATGCAGAGGGAAAAGTAGTGAAGATCAAATCTTATCAAAATCAGAGACTGATCAGTTTCATGAATTTTTTAAAGCTTAGAAAAGTGGGGGGAGGCCAAGCAAGGGACCAGCCAAAATTCATGGGGGTGGAGGCATTGGCCCCTTCTGGGCCCCCCTGTAGAATCGCCACTGATAGGTACAATGGAATTGATAAAACTATACGACACACCTACAAAGGTTAGTTGATTTAATGGATACTTATTACAGATGTCGCAACAGGAACAGGAAGTCATCTCTTTTGTGTTAAAAGAACAAAACAGTATTATTATGTAAAGATGTAGAGCAAAGAGCGACTCAGTCCTAATTCCTTTCCAAAGGGACATCTTGAGACATAAAAGGGAAAAAGAATGTCACTACCCCAAGAAATGTACTTTCTTTTATCCTAAATTCAATTATATACTTGTGTATGATGCGATTTCTGAAATCCTAATTTTGAAGCTAATTTTAAGAGGGTTGCATCATGCATGAGATATAAAATTAGCATATGTACTGTCGATCCTTGCTGCACCATTCATCAACTATATATCCATTTACTGTCGTCAAAAAGTACAACTGTATCTAAAATAAACATAATTTTGATAAAACTGATGTTTTACTAAACTGTATCCAATAATAATGCATGAAAATATTCACATATTAATATTGTATTATAAAATACAAACATAGTGGATATGCATATTTTCCATGTTTAGCTGTTTCTCATTCGGTTGTTTATGGCTGTACATGTTTACATGACAAGTATAGTATTACTGACATTACTTTTACCATTCTCTTTTACTTTTTTAACTTATTTAACTAGAAGATGGAACAAAGAAATAGAGGAAAAGAAGTTAGTCTCTTGTAATTTGGTTTCTCAAAAAAGGAAATCGTGTGCTGCACAAGATACATGATAAAATCATTTTTTATAAGGGAAAATTTGGGAGTTGCATGATATGTGAGATCACGCATTACATGAGTATATACAGTATATTCAAAAGAATTTGTCTTATTTGTGACTAGTATCGAAGCAACAGAAATATTTTTTTACAGAAGGATGCTGAGGATACCATGGACCAAACATGTGAGCAACAACAAAGGTTTAGAGAAAATGGAAACATACTTAACATCCGGGAGAGACAGTTGAAATTTCTAAGGTTCATAATGAGGAAAGAGGGCTTTGAAAATTTGATACTCACAGGACAAAGTGAATGCAAGAGGGACAAAGGAAAACAATGCATAACCTACTTAGTGAACTTGATTAAATGGATGGTGGTAAAGGTTTGGGGATAAATAACAAAAGACAAAATTTATTGAGAGCTACAAAGAACAGGAAATAGTGGAGAGCTATGATCACTTGTATCCTGAGGGGACATTGGAACATAAAGAACACTGATATATTTGTCAGACCCTACCATGATAAATGAAAGTCTGTGAGACATCTTTCTCCGTCAAAACCAGAGAAACAAGAAAAGAAATTGATATTGACATGTGGGAATGTTGGAATTTTTGGGTAACCTGGTGTACTAGTGAGCCAGCCAAAATGAGCTGACTCATTTTATAGTTCACCAATAGAAGAGTTAACCAATCAGAAAGTTCAAAATATTCAATGCGACATGTATAAAGGTGGCCATGTTTTTCCCCGAATACTCACTGCCAGCCTTTGATAACCTGGTCGAGGCTCTGCTGAAGAGCAGTCTCTCGTTCGGGGAGGTTGGCTGCCCTTGAACCCATTTATACACGTTCGAATAGGGAATATTTTTGGCCGAGCTTACGGGCTCAGAGATCCCACATTAATCCTGGTCTTGTGCCACATGTAACCCTCATGGTGGGGTGGCTAAATATCACTGCCAACCTTTGATATCGAAGACTGAAGAATTACAGAACAGCTGCTGGTGGTGGTACTGGCGATATAGTCAGATTCAGTAGACTCATGAGTATTAATCTTAAACGTTGTTTCATTGAACAGATTACATACTGCGCTGTATTCTATATTCATAGACTATGGTGAACATGGTCAACAGAGAATCCTGTCATTGAGAAGTCAAGAGTGATTTGAATGGTCTGTGTGTGTGTGTGAGAGAGAGAGAGAGAGAGATGGTGGGTATCATGATTCACCACTTGCTGCATTTGACTATGGATAAAGTTCTTACTTACTGTTCAGTATGCATTTTACAACCAATTACCCTCTTTGTCTTTAGCCCATTATCTATAGATTTAGGAGTATATACAATTTTTTTTTTTTTTTTTTTTTTTGACAATCTATGAAAGGAGTTGCTTGTCCTTTTGGTGAAGATGTTTCTTTTTATTGTCTAGCTAATTTGACATCACCTCATCCATTATAAAGTGGAACATATTTGAGTCAACTGCCTACACACACACAATCGGAATCATAGAGTCATTGTAAACTCCATGATTATTAGCTGCATATTATATGCTTTGCCAGCGTTACATAGTTTTGAATTAAAAGTTGTCCTTGTCATAGACTGGTTGCCACCCAAGGCTATAGGACCCAGTTTGTCCTGCTATTTTCATGTAAATGAATGTCATGAACATGACTGGAATTTGAACTCGGCCCTCTGATTTCTCAATCTGAACTGCTAAGCATTACTCCACTGCGTCTCCAAAGGAAGATATGTTCAGCTTGTTTAATTTTTTTGTGAGGCAGAAACTTAAGAGCCTATGTTGCCAAAGAAAGGATTTTAAAACGTTTTATTTTTTCTTTTTTAATTTTCTCCTTCAAGTTTTACAGCAGAATGATGTTTCCTTCTCCTGCTCATCCATTACAAAGCAGATGATATAATCACTTTGTTTCTTTTCTGTATTTTATTTTTCATGAACTTTATCATGTGACAACCAAAGAGAAAACGTTCAAAACGATGGGGCATTTTTTTTTTTACTTCTTTTAAACTATTCCCTGCAAGTTTTACAACTGAATGTCATTTCTGACACCAAAACACATTCATCACAAGCTGAGATTTACATTCAACTTTAAGCCCTTCCCTGTCCTTTTATTTGTTTTTTAATATGCTCAAGGGAAATCGCTTAGGATTTTGCTGAAGCATTTCTATTTCATCTTCGTCTTGAAAATAGTCAAAGATTGGATTCAATATTATCAGTTCTGACCTGGCATCTCACCTTCAGTCAATTTACCCACCCCCGCTAAAATAACTTCCCTGTTCCTTTTCTATAAATAATTTCTAGCAATTGTTCTGATGAGCTTTTCTCTTTGAAACCTAGGCCTATGGCCATATCATGCTGAAACACCATTTCCTATACAATCAATGAAATTAAGCAATGTTGAACCTGGTCAGTACCTAGATGGGTGACTGCTTTGGAATACCAGGTGTTGTAAGCTTGGATGTGCAGATGGTGTAATGAGTAATGGCTCGGTATTGTTAATTAGAAGTCTGAATTCCAATTCCAGTTGCATTCGTTATATTCACTAATGTGCAAATACCCTCGAGAAAGGTATGACTCTAGCTCTTCTCCCTCCAGCTATGGGTTAATTAGTAAGACTCGTATCACTAAATCATTATTATCAAAGAAAAAAAAAATTCTTACAACCTAAAAATATTTTCTGTCTTTCATCATCATCATCCTTTGACCTCCCTATTGTTGGTCAGAACTCCATTGACAATCCCTTTCCACTCTGTGTCAGTCCTGTATCGCTGTCCCCAGATCCCCAATGTCCACCCCTGAGTCTCGAGCTATGGTGTCTGGGAAAGTCAGTTTTCATGAGAAGGCACTTCCAGAATGATACTATAGGAGTAAGTACGAGACGATTTCCCTGTCCGCTCGGTGGCAGTGGCCGACAAACTGTAATTGTTTTTGTTTGAGCTTAAGAGAGATTGGTTTCAGTTCTCCGTAAATTGTGTTAACAGTTGCGTGTGATCTCCAGCTGATGTTCTGGACTTTTCTAAGTAGATTTGTATATGTTCCATCCAGCCGTCTTTCAAGATGAACAGATAATGTCCATGTTTCTGGTCCATACAGTAGGACTGATTTTATCAATATTCGAAAGGTCTGGACTTTTAGGGAGGATGGAAGGTTTTGAGTGCCAAATAACTTGCAAAGGGTTGATAAGCTGTAAAAAACAAATCAATCAATTAATACTTTCATTTGTTTTTCAATATACTCAGAGAAAATTGAAGTATTTCCATTGTATCTTCCTCTTGATAATAGTCAATGTTTTTGGTCCTGACCTGGCATCTTGGCCTCAATCACTTTCTTACTAACATAAAATAGCTTCCCTGTGCCTTTTCTATAAATAATTTCATAGCAATTGTTCTGATAAGCTTTCCTCTTTGAAATCTCAACTTCACAAATTTAAATGCAGTACTAGATTGGCAGCTAAGCCTGATCATATTATTATGGAAATTTTTACACGTAACCAAAAGTTCTATACTAACAGGTTCTTCTCTCATACTTCTTACTTGCGGAACTCTCTTCTAGCTTCTTGTTCTGTCAACTACAATCTTCAATAATCTAAATACAGCATCAATGACATCTGTTTCCTTGGATCATGTCCTATTATTGTCCTTTCTCCTTGTTGTGGTAAACCCTCTTACAGTAGAATGAACTCTTCCTCCTCTCATAAATACAAACTGCGAGAGTCGGATACCAGAGTAGAAGTGAAGTGGAGTAGTAGACGCAGTGCTAATCTTATTACTAACACTATTGTTTTGTATATATCTTCAATATACGTTTTCAACCTACCTTTGTCTTCCGTGTCTTTCTTTATGGTCCCTAAACAGGCCACAACACTCCTGAATATCATTTTCTCAGTTTCTTTTACTCTTGTGTCTTAGTGGCTTTATTGTTTTGCATGGGGTCAAATGATTAAAATAAAGATTCTTTTGAAGATATAGGGTAGCATGCCATATATTTTTATTTGTATGTTTGTTTAACAGTATATCAACTCCTTATGGGTCATTTAATGCCAAAATTTAAATTTTGTGGGAGTTTTGAAGCAATAGAATATGATATGTTATTCTGCTTTCACAATTGAATACATGGTAGATGATACTCAGCTTTTGTGCATATACATTTTTTGGGGGACATAATTACTGGAGGCAGTGATAGACGTGTTTTATGTTGTAGTTTTGTTGAAGTTAGATTTTGGAAAACAGTTTGATTTCTTTAAGAAATTGTCAGATTTTATATGGATTAATGTCACGAAAGCGTTCTTTCATATTGGCTGATTGATTTTGTTTAGTGTCATATTAACCTCTAGGGGTTATTTAGTGCTGAAATCTAAACATTTTTTTGAACACAATATTATGGCTTCAGCTAAATATATTTAGCTACACATAAAATGTATTGTTGGTCATTTAATAAAATTGTATTTTTATGCTTTCATAGTGTCTTGTTTTCACTTTTTGCCCATAGCTGGGACCCTAACAAGTGCTACCACCCTGGATTAGGCTGGATCTGGGAACAGCAGCAATTAAGAGGTGGTTCTACACTCATCAAAACCTCCAATCTCCCAATCAGATTTCTTGTTGTCGGATGTAGTCTATTGTCATATTCAGGGCTGATGTCATATATCAGTATGAAAGATAATGGGATTGGCAAACAGAGTTCAAATTTTATCTGTGGCTGCTTGTGTGTATTCAGGATAAGCATGAATTCACTTCTCCCTGCATTGAATATCTTGTCTCTAGCATGCCTAGAAGATTAACTGAAGAAGGGTACAGAAGTGAGTACTTGGACAAACCACTATCCCATAACTAAAGCCTAGGCACTTATAAGTATCAAAAGTTATCACATCTATTGTCAAACTCGACAGAGGTTATTATATAACATAAATGTGCTAGAGCAGTAGTTCCAAAATTTTTTTTCTCTAGGTTGCATTTTCGGAATTAAAATTTGCTTGCACCTGACCAAATTTTATGTAATAAAAAGTACATTTAAAAATAAAAAGCTGAGAGAAGGTTAAAGGGAGATAACTGCGGATTCAAACTCAGAAAGTGTCATTGATAACTCTCTCCTCCAATTTACAGAGCTTAGTTTCTATATTCTTAATACTTGATATAATGCAAAAATATCACAATGATAAAATTGGTCAATAATTATTTATAACTATTTATACTGGGATTCATGCATGCAATTACAAGTAATCCATGATGATATTTTAAATTTTGAAGTTATATTTATTTGGGGGATATGAATTTTTAAAAACTGTTTCTAAATCTTTGATTCTCTTTCAATCATTCAGCCTCACCTGCTATCCTCTTCCACTGCATCTATGACGTGCACTGCACTGTTTGGAACCGCTTGGCTAGAGTTAAAGGAAAAATGTTTTTCAAATATTCCTTGAAATCATTGGGAGTTGCACAAAATGATTTTTTTTTTAAATTCATAAATTCCATAAAGAGTTGATAAACTGTAAAAAAACAAATCAATCACTCAATCTCACTGTAGTTTTTTTTTTATTTTCAATCTTTTGTCAGTGTAAGAATATATTGATTATAACTTATCCAAGAGAGTTTCTTATTTTGACTTTAACTGATTTGCCTCTAACTCTGTCTAAAGAGTCTTGGTAAAAACGCATACATTTAATAAAATTTGTATGCCATGGTGCCAACTAATATTATTTCTTTTTCAAGTTATAATACATTTATGGGCTGTTTTATCAGAGAATGCAAAACATTTAATTTAAAATATTTTTTTATTATTATTGTTTAATCTTTTGTTCTTTTTTTCCCCCGTGTGTTGCAGAAATTATATTAAAAGCCTCAATCTACTTTGGCCACCTTGTGTTGCATTTCAAACAGCTAATTTTCCTCCATCTTTTATTATTTTCCTTGTGTTGCTAAAATTCTGTTAAATATGACTGTCTACTCTGGTTTTATAGTTACTTTTTAAACCATATTTATTAATGATATTTTTTAAAACTTTTTTTAGTTTTAAATGTGACCTGTTCACTTATTTTTGCATTATCTTGGATAAGCAATACACATAAAATTTTTTGAGCTTAGATCAGCAAAAACTAAAACTGTTTTTGTAATTCTTTCTTAGAATCCATTCTGACAAGTCGAAAAAAAAAAGACTGACTGGTCATGCTTAGTATTTCTGACATGCAAAACATTGAATTAAGAATTTGAATTAGTAATTTAATTTTTCTTTGCTTGCTTAGTCTTTTAAATATTTAAATGTTGTTTTAAAATGATTTCTATGAAAAAAAAATTATCTCAAAATTTAGTTTAAAAAGAAATGAAATTCAGTTTTTATCTTGCAATTGGTGCCAGTCTACACGTACAAATTCCCCATGAGTTTTTAATAATTTATCATTGCAGACTTTTCTTTAAATTTTCCTCTGATGGAGAAAGAGATAAATGAAAAAAAAAAGAGTAAATATATATATATATATATATATATATATATATATATATATATATTAGTAATGAAGGAAGAAGAAAGAAAAAAGTTGCTGGGATAGAGAGTGGGAGAAAAAACAAAGGGTAAAGAAAGAGAAAGTAAAAGTGAAGAAAAGAAAGTGAAAAGTAATGGATATAAATGATCAAGATGGTGGAAATCAATAAGAAAGGCTTATCTTGTAGCTGAGATAGTTGCATATTAAATCCACTACTGTCTGTAGTTAGTACTCAGACCTTGGTGTAGGACACCCCTCTCCACTGCATGGCCAATTGTAATATTGGTGCTACACAATCTCCCTTCATCCATTTAATTTTGGGAGCTGTAATGAGGTAAGTTTAATTTCTGTCTGAATTTCTAATATGAGGATTTAGCATATTTTTTATATTTGGTTAAATGTCCTTGTCTTTATTATTATCATACCATTAGGTGACCGAGATTGACTGACATCTGAAGACGGCCAAATGGTGTAATAGCTGAAATGTTGTGATAATAACTACGTTGAGGACATTAGTTAGAATGTAAATAATGTAAGATTAGTAAATATTGAGAAAGGTGGCTGCCTTATGGCTAAGTTGGTTTGCATTTTGTGTTAAATTTTGCTCTTCAAGTTCAGGTAAAAGCCAAAACTTTATAAAGGTTAATTTTCAAAGCATTCAGACACTTTCAACATTGATTAACATAATACAATTTTCTTTTCCTTTTAACTAGTAAGCCTCACCATGTTTAGCCTTGTGTCATACTCATCTAAAATTTAAAAAAATATCAGTAAATGAGAGAAAGAAACAAGGAGAGAAAAAAGAGAATTTTTTTTCTATCTTTCTTAGTTTCTATTTACTTTGTTTGTCATTTTTATCATCTGCTGGTCTTTTTCTTTTTGTCTTGGAGACGTTTTGTTTTCTTAAATCTTCTCTTTCATCTGTTGGGGAAAGGTCAGTGCTTTCTACATCTTCAGTCAGAGAACTTTTATAGTGTCTCCCAAGCACCTGACCTAGACCAATTCCCAGTTTCCCACTTGAGAGTTAGGCATGATTGGACAGTGTCCTTTCAAGCATGACTGATTGCTGAAGTTTACTTTTCACTGAATGTTTATTTTTTTTTTTTTAGTTTTCTGTTGACACAGATATAAAGTGAAAGGGTGTGGCAGTTGGTAGGTCGGAAGTGGGAAGACTGGGATGTGTTTAGAGATACAGGACTGCAATCAGGGTTAATGTGGGAATCAACATTTTGTATTCTTGGTTACTTCTTGAGTCATTCTTTGCTTTTTTGTTTTTCTTTTGAGTGCCCTCCTGTTCTTTTGGTTCCATTTTCATTTCTTCCCCTTCTTTTTCATCTCTCTTTTTTTTTTTTTTTTTCTTTGCTGTTCTTCCCTTTTCTCTTTCTTTCTCATTCCCGTCTCATTCTTTATCTTCCTTTCTTTTTCTATATCATCTTTTCTTTTTGTTTCTCTTTTCTTCACTTTTTCCTTTTCTTTTTCCTCCCTTTTTTCTTTTCTTTCTTTTCTTATTTTCTTTTCTACTTTTTCTTCACTTTTCTCTCTTTTTATCACCTCTTCTTTCTCATCATCTTATTTTCTGTATCTTCTTTCTCTTTTTGCATTCACTTCTCTCTCATGTTCCCCTCACTATCTCATGCCTCATTTTTCCTTCTCCATTTCTCGTTTACCCCATTCCTGTTCTTTTTCCTTTATTCCTTCATTCTCTTTCTCTCATTTCATTCACATTTTCTTTTCTTCTTCTATTTCATGTTTTCTTGTTTTTGTTTCTTTTTTTCTTCACTTTTCCCTTTCATCTTTTTTCTTCTTTTTTTCTCTTTTTCTTCCCTCTCTTTTTATCTTCTCTTGCTCCATCTCTTTGCTATTATCCTTCTCTTTCATCTTTCTTTGCATTGTTGTCCTTTTTTTTCATTACTCCCTTTTGTGCCTTTTTGTCTTCACCTTCTCTCCCCTCACTAGCTCACACTTTCTTTTTTCTTCTCCCATCCTCATTTATCCATTTCTTTTTCTTTTTCTCCTTTTCAATCTCTTTGACTCTATATTTTCCCTTCTTATTACAGCTCTACTTTTCATTTATTTTTGTTTTGCTTCTCCTTCCCTCTCTTTTTCATTTCTTTTTTTATCCCTTTATTTATTTTTTCTTTATTATTCTTTCTGTTTTTCTCTTCTTTCTCATAATCTGCCTCCTTCTCTTTTACTGTTTTTTCTTTTCTCTCTTCTCCCCTCTCTCTCTCGCTTTTAATTTTCATCTCTCTCCATTTTATATTTCTCTCTCTTTCTCTTTCATTACAATGGACCTTTTTATATTTTCTTACTTTCTTTATTTTTTGATTTCATCTGTTCATTTTATTCTCATTTATCATCAACTTTATTTCCTACCCTCCCTTTATGCTTTTTCTCTCATATTCTTACTCTTGTTATTTTTCTCTTTCTTTCTACTCTCCTTTAGTATTTCTCTTCTCACTCACTCACTCACTCACTCACTCTCCTCTCTCTGTCTTGTTTTTATTCTTTCTACTGTGAAACTTCTTTTATCTCTGATAATTTCTTTCATCTTTGTAAATCCTTCTTTTCATCTTGCACACTTTTTCTTTTCTTTTTGATTTTCTCTCAAATTTTTGTCTTTTTTAACCTTTCAGGTACCTTTTCATTTTTCCTTTTTTTTTTTTTTTCAAAACAATTTTTGCTAACTTTTTCTTTCCTTTTTTTTTTCCTCTTCTTGTATTCCAATTCACACTTTCTGTTTTTTTTGTTCTTGTTATTCCTTTTCTCTTTCCTTCTACTCTTGTTTCTAGTTTGCCCCACCTTCACATTTTCTTGTTTCTTTTTGTTTTTCTTCTCTTTTTCAATCTATCTCCCTTCTTTCATATTTTCTTTTTTCATTTTTAAAATTTCTTCTCTATTTCTTTCTCTCTTCCCTCTCTTTTATATTTTCTTGTTTCTTTTTGTCTTTCTTCCCTTTTCCTCTCTCTTTCATATTTTTTGTTTCTTGTTTTTTTTCTTTTTCCCTCTCTTTCATATTTTCTTCTTTCTTTTTGTTGTTCTTCTCTCTTCCCTCTCTTTCATATTTTTTGTTTGTATTCTTTTATTTTTAATTTCTCTCTCTTTCATATTTTCTTGTTTCTTTTTTCTTTTTCTTGTTTTTCTTCTCTCTTGCCATTCTTTTATATTTTCTTGTTTCTTTTTGTTTCTGTAATTATATATAGTATACAAATGTATGTATGTATTCAAATATAGTAGCTACTACTTGACCACACGGCAAAGGAAAGTAATTTTGTTTTCAATGAAGTGAGGAGCAGTTTAACAGTATAAGGTCACCAGCTAGTTGTGCAAATGTTGTATTTTGGCTCTGGGTATGTTACGATAACCACATCATCAGAGAATGAACAAAATTTATTGACTTTGTTTTTGTTTTTTTTGCCATCTGTTTATATACAGATCTATAGATCAACTTTAAAAAGGCTGCCCACTACTTATTGTCTCATAGGCTGGTTGCAAAAGCTTTCTGAGTGGTTGGTCAAACTATATATTTTTAGAATTGGTGAAACTCTGATCTCCTTGTTATTATTTGTTTATTTTTTCTCTCATATACTGCTTGTGAAAGACTTTTGATTGGTTGGTCAAACTATGGCATTGCTTGTCTGCCGATTTTTATTATCCATCTATTTTTAGAGATGGTGGAATTTTGGTCTTCAGAGCTTTATAAAATTACTTATATTTTTTCATTTTGTGTGTGTGTTTTATGCATAATTTTTAACAGTAAAAATATTTATTTTCTTTTTCTCATTTTATTGTTCTTTCAGATTTAGATTTGGCTGTCATATTTTTGTCTGTATTATCAAATTTAACAGAGTTTTTGGATTCTGGTTGAGATTGTATAAAATTTATAGCAGTCTTGGTTTCCGAAATTAATGCAAGCTTTTGTCTGCCAATTGAGATAGTATCATTCACCTCATCAGAAATTTTTATCATAAAATATTTCTGATTATCGCATAATAACACAAATGGACCTATCTATGGTGCTTCCAGGGGTTTGTGAACTCTATTTGTTCATAACCAAATACATTTACAGGTATTTAGATCTTTTGTGTAAAGAATGCAAATGTCGACTAGATTGTTTGTCGGTCTCAAATTTCTGCATTTCTTTAGTTAAATTCTTTATTTGTGAATTTGCTAGTCCTCATCTTTCTTTGTGTTGATTAATATTCATGGAGCTTGTGCATTGCCTCCATGTTATAAAAGTAAATAGGGAGTAATTTGATTTATTAGGTTTTACTCTGATTCCAAGAAGGACAATACGTAACGCTGATAACCATGATACTTTCTTGGCAATAATTCCTGTTTTTCAATTTCACTGTGCCTGTTCAATTAATCTATTTGTTTATGGACTGTCAGATGTTGTTCCCCAGTCTGTGGAGACCTATAATCATTGACAGCTCTGAAAACAATTCTGATTTGAATTGACTACCTCTGTCTGTAATGACATGGAGTTGAACTTCAAATCTGGATATTCATGTGTTGACAAAAGCTGTAGAAATTGATTGTGCTGAAATCTCCATCATGGGACACACTTCTATCCATTAAGAACTTCTATCAATACACATTAGTAAATATCGATAAGGTAAGAAAAAGGAGTTAGTAAGATTTTCCACTGGTGTTTACAGACACACTATATCAAATGGTTGAATGTCACTCTTTGTATGTTTGGTTATTTTTGCTTTCTGGCAATGCTGACATTCTTTTAGCCACATTTTTTTTTACTGATTTTCCCATTTTCAGCCAGTAGTAACTCGATCTTATCATTTTTATTGAAGCTGGTATCCCAAGTTGTGATAGATTATGTAGACTGTCAAATACTGATTTTCGCTATTTATCAACCCACCCACAAGGATTGAATATGGCACAAGGCCGGTTTAATGTGGGTATCCCCGAGCCCATAGTCTTGGCCAAAAAATATAGCCTTTTTGAAACCGCCTTGATGGATTCAGGCCCTGTCTACCTCCCCAAACGAAACCTTGCCCTTCGTCAAAGCTTCGTCCGGGTTCCTCTCTGCTAACGCAGATAGTTCGACAGACGTCGGAAGTCAGCCAAAAACTTCTCCAAATACTGATTTTCTGAGCCTCTGTGTCACAAAGGGTTGTGAACAGGGTAAGAACTTGTTGCAAAGAATAGTTTGGTGTTCATTTATAGTATATGGCTTCAGCTATGTGTTTAATTTCTTCATCAGAAGCTTGGTGCTTCATTATTTCCTGCAAATCATATACATCTATAGTGAAAGGATTAACTGGTCATGATAAGCAATCAGCTACTATATTCTGACTACCTTTTATATCTGAAATATCATTAGCATATTCACTTATAAAATACAGGTGTTGTCTGTCAAATTTCAGAGAAGTTTGACTTTTGAAAGCATTAAAGACATTCTTGCCTTCTATCTGGTTATTAAAATGAAAAAAATTGACAGACACTTAGCAATTCCCTATCAAAGATGGAATATTTTTGCTGCATCCATGATAATTTTCTAGAAAAAACAATTGGAATCTGTTGATTGCCAATCATTTGGTATAATATTGTACCTACAGTATAGAAGTATTTGTCACAAGTTGATAGTTATTAACATTTGAGTTGGTGCATGCTAGAACAGTTATACTTGATAGTCTTTTTTATAATTTCAAAAGATTCCATTTTTTTTTTTAGTGCTAAGTTATCTGACTTTGAGTTCAAAATATGGAATGAGCTTCTTATAGAAACTGGCCAATCCAAGGAGTCAATGCAATGATTTAGAATCTTTTAGCAGGTGAAAATAATTTAACTCATCAAGTTTCTTGTGATGGGTTTAATCTCCTCACTAGAAATGCTGAATCACCAAAATTCAAGTTCATGAGCATCAAACAGACATTTCAAAAGAGAAATCATGCTCACTGAGTTTCTGTTGAACTGAGCTGAGATGCTTGAAATGTTTTTTTTTCATTTTCTGACTCAAATATAAATGACCAAGATCTGCCTATTCTTGAACCAATTAAATGCATATAGGCTCAAATATAAATATATATGAATTAGCATTACTTACCTGTTCCTTAAGCGTTCTGGGTATGACGATAAAATACATCCACATCCTGGATAAGACAATAAACTATGTTTGAACCACCTCTTAAGTGCTGGTGTTCCCAGGTTCACCCTAACCTGTGGGTGGTAGCACCTGTTAGGGTCCCAGCTATGGGCCAATAGTTAACCCCACAAAAGGTGTCAAAACATTATGAAAGTATAAAAATAGGTTTTAATACCAGCAATACTTTGGGGGGGAAATTATTACCAGTGGTACATTTTTGAAAAAGAAAATATTACTAGCAATACATTTAAAAAAATAATTATTACCCGCATTACATGTTTTGAAAAATATTACCAGCAATAAAAAATCTTGTTGACATTAAATAACCCATTGAGGTTGATATGCTGTAAACCAAATCAAACCAAGCCTACTCCTGAACAAAGTAAATGTTTATAGACTCAAATATAAATGACCAATATTTGCCTATTCTTGAACCATGTAAATGCTTATGGTCTCAAATATAGGTGAGATAATTTCACCTATCCACAAACTATGTACATTTTTATAGACTCAAATATTTATTTTTAAAAGAATATCTAATTTTGATGTTAAATAACCTAAAAAGAGTTGACCTGTCATAAAATCAACCAATTCAATAGAATACTATTTTCCTTGCACAGATGTTAATAATTATCTCCTAAGTTTAGTTTATGACAAATGGATTAAAAATCTGGGTAGGAAGATTGTTTTGCTAATCTTTGATGTTGGTGAGAAGTTTGCCTGCTTTGAAAATCAGCATTCGAAATCCTGGATTTTATGTGTGCTCAAACACTGACCTCTGATATAACGATCTCAACCATTAAGCTATCCCTTATGCTTATTATAGTTTAGGGGGTCACTTTTTGACCCCTGTGAATCTTTCATATGGTAACATTTGTGTTCATGTTCCAACTTTCTCAATTACCTTTTTCTGTATGTTTTCTCTTTTTGAAAATCCATCTCAGATATTTTTTAAACTGGTAAACTCATTTTTTAAGCTTTTTTTTTTATTTTTATCTTTTGCATATTCTTGGTCAGCTTCACCTTTAGATATGAGATTAGGTAAAAAAAAAAAAAAAAATTGGCATTTGATGACATTTTCAGGGTTTTTGAGGCAGGCTGAAATATGTTGATTTCCACAGATCATAAAAAAATAAAGAGAAAAGTAAATGTTTTAAAAGCTCATAAAATCTGAAATTAAAAATTTCTTGAATTGAAGTTAGAATCCAATCAGTTTTCCCCCCTTTCAAGTGATGGTAGAATGCTCACACAACTCTCCAGAGGTGTTTTACATGATTTCCAACGGTTTTCTTCAGTTATTTTGCAAAAAATAAAAAGCCTTTACTCTGCAAATTCTCTTGCTATGTTCAAATTTAATGATAATTTCTTTTCTTTTGTCCTTAAACCTATAATATGAAGCAACTTCATTCTTCCTCACAACATTATGGCTTAAAGGTAAACACTCTCAGTCTCTCCAACATATATTACATACCCAATCTATCTTGTATACTTACA